CAGCTTTCCTGCTCCTCTGATGCTGCCTGGCCTGCTGTGTTCCTCCAGCTCCACACTGTGTAATCTGAGTTTAAAAGCAGATCTTAATCAATTGGATCAGTGAGCTAAAGAGTGGCAGATGGAGTTTAATTTGGATAAATGTGAGGTATTAATCTTGGTAAAACAAACAAAGGCACGACTTATACAATTTAAAGTAAGGCCCTGGGTAGTGTTGTAGAACAGAGACCAAGGGGTTCAGATACATTATTTTTTGAAATTTGCATCACACAAAGATAGGGTGGTTAAGAAGGAGTTTAGCTTGGCTTCATTATCCAGACCTTTGAGTACAGGATGTTGGTGAGGCCTCTACAGGAGTATTGTGTCCAATTGTGGTCTCCCTGTTACAGGAAGGTTATTATCAATTGTGGATGGTTGGCTCGCTGTTCCGCAGACATTTCATTACCCTGCTGGGTAACATCATCAGTGCAGCCTCCAATGAAGTGCTACTGTGTTTCCCTGCCTGTTATTTAAACTCTGGGGTTCGTTGAGCAGCATTACCTCACTTTTGGTTTTCCTTCGCAATGGAGTGTATATGGGGTCTAGCTCTGTGTGTTTATTGATGGCTTTCTTAGTGGTGAGCTTGTGGGTTGTTGATGGCGGTTTATATCTCACACTGCTTGGTAATACCTGATTCCTGAGACATCCATGTAGGAAGTAGAGTTGTTCGTGGGTAGTGCTCTGTCGTTTGCCATAGTAAGAAAGCCATCAATAAACACATAGAGCTAGACCCCATATACACTCCACTGCAAAGGAAAACCGGAAGTGACGTAATTCAGCTCAACAGACACCAGAGTTTAAATAACAGGCCGGAAAACACAACAGCGCTTCATCGGAGGCTGCACTGATGATGTTACCCAGCAGGGCAATGAAACGTCTGCAAACTAACAAACCAACTCAGTGAGTCAACCAGCTGCAACATCCACAACCCAAGCTACAAATCTACTCTAAAACCTTAAGAGGTTATTAGCAAGCTGGAGAGGGTTCAGAAGAGATTTACCAGGACATTGCTGGGAATTCAGGGTTTGAGTTATAAGGAGAGAGTGGAACTTTTTCACTGGAGCTGAGGAGGTTGAGAAGTGACCTTATAAGAGGTTGATAAAATCACGAGGAGTATAGATAGGTTGAATGGTAGGTATCTTTATCTGGCCCCACCTATCCTCTCCTCTATCCCTCTTCTATCCGCCTCCCACTCTCTCCCTATTTATTTCAAAACCCCCTTCCCCTCCCCCTTTTCTGATGAAGGGTCTAGGCCCGAAACGTCAGCCTCTCTGCTCCTATGATGCTGCTTGGCCTGCTGTGTTCATCCAGCCCTGCACCTTGTTGTCTAGGTATCTTTATCAGTTCTCCATGAAACAAAGTGTAGTCCCAGGACAAGTCAATCTTTCCAGTTGCGATCTATCCTCATTACTGATAACAAGTTCTCGTTTAAAATCACAGAATGCATGAGGAAGAAAGATGTGAAAGGCAGCCGAAGATTCCCCATTGTGCAGATGAATAACAAAACTATCAACACCTTCAATGATTCGGCCCAAATGCATGTGAAAAGTACAGTCACCACAGTGCTGCTGCCCTGCCTTTATCTCCTGGTGTTCACCATTGGCCTTCCAGCCAATGCCCTGGCTCTCTGGGTCCTGCTCACTCGAATGAAGAAGCTGCCCTCCACCATCTTCCTGATGAACCTGGCCTTCGCTGACCTTCTGTTAATGCTTGCCCTCCCTTTCAGAGTTTCCTATTATCTATTGGGGAATGACTGGCCCTTTGGAGAGCTGCTGTGTAGGGCCTGCACTGCACTGTTCTATGGCAATGTCTATTGTTCCATCCTGTTCCTAACTTGCACCAGCATTGATCGGTACCTGGCTGTTGTGCACCCCTTTCTCTCAAAGGCAGTCCGAAAGACAAGCTCTGCAAACTATGTTAGTGCCACAGTCTGGGTGCTGGTCATTCTCTTACTGCTGCCATATTACATCAACCAGCAGGCTTACTTCATCCAGTCTCTCAATATCACCACATGCAATGATGCACTCCTCAGGGAGGATCTGGTTGGTTACTACTTCAATTACACAGTTTGTCAGGTAGTTTTTGGTTTTGTGATTCCCTGTTTAATAACTGTCTTTTGCTACGTGTCTGTCATTGCCACATTGGCTTTAAATGGCAAGCAATACGCCTATGCGATAAAGGTCACATTGTTAGTGCTCCTAGTGTTCCTGCTGTGCCTTACTCCATTTCACATGGCCCTGATAGTCCAGTCCCACACACTCAGCAGTGACACTTACATGTATGTCATGCTCTGCCAAGTGCTCAGCACCTTTAATAACTGCATTGATCCATTCATTTATTACTACATCTCAGGAGAGTTCAGGGACAAACTGAGAACTACAATCTCTACCCTGAAAAATGAAACAAGTTCTGGCAGATCAGGTCAGAGTCTCATTCAGAGCAGTAGTGCATCACAGCCAAGTCATCAGCCAGTGTAGTTATCTTCTCAGCTCAATAAGAAACTTTTGGGGAATTTCACAGTCAGACCAGTGTGTAGGACTTATCCAGTGCTTTCTAACATAACCCATAAGAATTACTGTGGGAACCTACAGGTTTGTCATTCTAAACCCTTCTATTCTTTTGAAACTTCAATTGAATTATCTCAAATGCTTCTGCACTTTAAGTGCATCATCTGCCAGAGTAATAGATTGCTGAAACCTTACAGTAGATGGGACAGCCCTGTTGGAAGTTATGAAACAACCTTTTTGACCCTTCCATTTCAGACACTATGCCCCAGATCACAAAGTCATTGTCACATTGACACAAGGGAAAGGCCCTTCAGACTCCACACTTTTCAAAAGCAACCACCTCTTGTAATCTCATTCCCCAGCATTTGGCCCATAGCCTCATGTCTTGACATCCAAAGTGCACATCTAAATATTACTTAAATGTAGAGAGTTTCTGCCTCTACCACCCTCTGGATAGAAGAGTTACCCCCCTCATCTCAAAAACCTTCTGCCCCTTACCTTAAGGCTGTACCCCCTGGTCACTGATCCCTGCACCAAAGGAAGTCTGTACATGTCCACCCTGTTTGTGTTTGAATTTTGTAAATCATGTACTACCAATTTAACATTGGGTTTACTTTTTCTTTGATGCCACTCTGCCTCACCATTAGAGTCAAGATTTCAATAAAGAAAAGCAGCTTCTACTGGTGGGAGTCAGCCAAAAGGGAAAGTGTCAAAATCCAAGCCAAACAGCCAATTCCCCCAAAAAGCTGTGGAATGGGGGTATGCAACTGAAACTTGAAGGAGTTGCTGGTTTGGGGACCTAGTCCAGACTTAGCCAGCAGAAACTGTTGAGGCAGCTGCATATTCTGCTACCAGACTAATGACTGACCAGCCAATTTTTAACCACAGAAGGTACAAACAATATGCTGATCACAAGTCAAACTTTGGAAACATTGCCAGGTGAGGGTTTTATTGCCTTTAATGGGTGCAAAGTCTGGCTTTGAAGCAAGGAGAGATCCTGTGCAGACTGTTGCCAAGCAATCCAGCCTGGACATGTTTGTTTCACAAACCCAGGGAAATGAGAAAAATGTAACACTGCAATTCACTTGGTTAAGATATTGGGAACCTGATACAGTTTTTACATCTCCTTTCTGAAGAAAGGTTTCAAATCAAAACTGAAGCTCTTTAGATTAAGCATCAGTTTTGCATTGGGATTAAGGGGAAAAGTCTTCAATCCAATTTGTTTAGATGTCAACCCAGTTTGGTCACATTTGCCTGTTTTGTATTATAATAAAACAAATTGTTAAAACAGCCTCATGAAATTCTTTTATTCTGGATAGCCCAAAGTCCACACTCCAACACAATACCACCTCTCCGCCTCTTTAGGCTGATGCACAAAGAGACAGCAAACAAGTGCAATGCAATGTGTGCTTTTATTTGATATTTAGCACAAACGTGAGCATTTGGAGGATGCCAACTGCCCCAGTGTTTACTTCAGCTTCTTCTTAGGGCGCAGGTTGTTTGTGTGGCCACACTTACTTTTACGACAGTTTGATGCACGAGGGTGGAGGCGTGCGTAGCACCTGTTCAGGGGAAGGGGAAAGCACAGTTAAAGTATGGTCTAGCCAGTTACATGCCTTACTGACTTATCAATTCTCCCAAGCTAAAGCCTAGAGCTTTTATTTTTAAAGTGGTCCTGTTAACTAGCAGCATATCTTTTAGTGATTGTTGTCTTTTACTGTTTGATCCTTAGCTTGCTCTATTTCACATACTTCAGCTTCCAACTACTGACCTCTCCTTTTGTTAAGAGCCAAAATACTCAGTCCATTTATCTGTACGGAAACTCACCTCCTCACCATGCCTGTTTCTGTTTGCACAGCAAGACCATTTTGCTTTTATAAATCAGCATCTGAATATTGTCTGAAGTGAGAAATGCACATACTGGCAGGTGAATTCATCCATTTGTGGAAAACCCCAGGGGTGATCCAAGTCAGGGAATCTGGTATAATTAAAGTGGCTAAGTTGTGTTAATAAGGTCACAATCTGGATTTTAAGAGAGGGCCTCAGTGGACTATGGAAAGAACCTTTTGTCAGCCAGACTGCTCATGGGTGATATCAAGCAGCATTACCCCTTACAAAAGGGGGTGGGAATCTAAAATAACAGCATGTAGTTGAAAGGTAGGGATTGAGCCACCATGGTCAATTTGTAAATTGGAGCCAGTTTGAGCGGCTGAATGGTCACCTCCTGTTGCTACTGTCCACACACCTACTGCAGTCAGTCCCCCCAACTTACAGGCAAGTTTTCCCCACAGAACAAAGAAATAGCCACATCACTGAGCAAGTCTCTCCAGCTACTCACTTGCGGCAGATCATCTTGTCGCAGTTGTATTTCTGAGCGAGAATGCGGAGGGACGGGTCCAAAACACCACCTCTCAGACGTAGCACCAGATGGAGAGTTGACTCTGAATGGAAATTTAAATAATGCCAGTGGAGTCAGGTAAAATAAAATTAACACTTATCAATCAAACTGAACCCACCAACTACAGCCCACGATCAGCATGAATCTCCCTGGGTGAACTGACCTTTCTGGATGTTGTAATCAGACAGGGTACGGCCATCCTCCAGTTGCTTCCCAGCGAAGATTAAACGCTGCTGATCTGGGGGGATCCCTACATAAACATAAGGTTTAATAAGCAAAACCACAAACCAACAGCCCAATAAAATCTGGGTCACAAATTCTCCACCCCTTAAAAGCACTCCGGTTTCTGTTTTTAACCTTCGTTAACCACATGCTATTCTCCCCTCAGCTCCACATTCTCAATAATTAGTGCCTTTAATGTCCTGGCCATTTATTTTATTGCTGCTGACCAGGCTGGTTTAATGCTGACTGCCAAGGGGTAACATCCTTTGTGCTACAGTATTGCATTGCTTTAGTTTTATGCACTAATTAGCTCAATCCACAACATTGTAAATTTCAACTCACTGTGCACCATTCTCAATTTAACACTTTACAACTACAGTTTTATTCTGAAATAGTAAGAACTGCTGATGCTGGAGTCTGAAATAACAGTGTGGAGCTGGATGAACACAGCAGGCCAGGCAGCATCAGAGGA